AGGATGTTGAGTTCATGACTGGATATTTAAAAAGTTCAACCTTCACTGCACGTCTCTCTTATTCACGCTGAAAGAAGATCCAGCCAGGCTCTCAGACGCTTTACTCTCCTTTTTATTTATATTTTAAAGTTAACCTTTTACGTCACTGTTTCACAGCAGGCAGGACAAACTGATTTACTGCTGGTACTGTCGGGTCTGGGCTCGGCCCCCCTGCCTCCTGATGCTAACAGCGCCTCTGACGTCACGCGGCGCGCTCCCGACACAAACAACTGCGCGCTCCCGGTCTGCTCGGGAACTTGAGAGCGGCGGTGCTGGATGTGTACACCGAGCAGCCGGAGGAAAGACGACCAGCAGGGATCCCGCGTCCATCTCCGCACCGTCACCCCACTCACATACCCGCTGTGAGCTCCAGGACAGTGGTTCCGAGGTAAGGAGCTGGGTCAGGTTCGGTGAAACGTCAGCTTTTTCAGCCCAGAGTTCTTCGGTCAAAACAACAGCAGATGCTAGCTTCCCTGTTAGCATCGTGCTAATGCTGCGGCTGCTTACAAGCTGCTAATCCGGTTAAAAGTCAGCCTTACCGGACTGACAGCCGTCCAACGACACGCGGTGGTTAACATTTACCTCCCAGTTCGTGTAGAACCCTCCGGTTCTGGTTCTTGTCTGGTTTTAACCCACAGAGCAGCTAGCATGTTAGCAGGACTCTGCAGGTTAGCGGCTGGCCGGGGCCTAGCCTCACCGGCTGTCGGCACCAACACACCGGGACACGGTCCTCCAGCTCAGCAGAAACCAGCCCGGTTCTGGGCTCAGGTTCGGCTTGTTTGGGTTTCTGGTAAAACCTGGATCAGTTCAAGAAGCCATGATTAATCCTGACCCCCCACCGTGGCCTCGGGCCGAACCGAGCTTCTCCCCCAGCACAGGACTGTTGTTGTGAACACCTGTAGGTGCTTGTAGAAACACCTGTACAGAAAGGGTTAACATGTTGAACACAGGTACAGGTGTGCTCCTGTTGGACCAGCTGAACAAATGAACAGGTCACTGCCTGGCCTCAGGTTCTGATGACCCAACAGGAGCAGGTCTGGTTCTGATGCAGACATCAGGTCTGTGGGACAAACAGGTAGATGTTACCTGGATCATTAGATCAGCTCTGATTTATTTCTTATATTTATTTACTCATCATCAGGTACTGAAGCTGTGATTAAACCAGTTCAGGTGTGTCTGACCAGTGAACCATCACAACCTGAGTGTTGTCTGAGCCGTCCACCTGTCACCTGTG